AAAAATTCTGGTGTAAACACCTCTCGATTACTGACTCCTCAATTGGAGACTAAGGTTTCCTAAGAGTTAAAATTCTGCTAAGTGTACTTAAGACGGATGGAAATAAGGAAAGCAACCCTGTCTGTAGGAAAGTGGGAGATATGTAAGAAAGATATAAGGAATGGAAACACATTTTTTGTTGAGGGTAAAAGAAAGTAATTCCGTCCTAAACGAGACTGGTTGTTGGAGAGAAATGGCTTTGGGACAAAGTTTGAAGGCAAAGGAAAGTTGTAGAAGGTTCGTGAAGGGAAATCTTCGGAAAGGAATTGTGCTCAGGATAGACTAAGGTTGAGATGAATGGAATTTTAAAAGTACACTGGTATAAGGTTGAAATTCTGCTTTTCTCTCTGTTCAGAAGACAAAGTTTTCTTGGACTGTTGATCTGCTCTTGATAAGAAAATGTAAATAAAGGCTTTTTTTTCTCTTTGGTCGGCCGGAGATAACCAAAGCTTTAGGTTTCTTCTTTATCAGGTCTTTGATTACTTAGTTAAAACTTCTCAATGTTAAAGGAGCTAGGTTTTGCTAACAACGATATGATGCTATCCATTCGCCTTCAGGATCTTTCATTGGCACTTTGGTTGAATAAACAAAGTTTTAAGACTTGTAATGATCTGTAATCCTATTTTGGACGTGCTTTATGGGTTCCTAAAGTTTTAACAAACTTCCCAGGATTTAAACGGTAAATTAAGTCTTTTGACCAATTAGGCCCTTTTATTTGGGATGCTAAGTTACTTGGAAACCACTGTCATACAATGGTAAACCTTAGGTTGTATTGCACAAGTAAATGTTGTAACTGCCCAAATATATATGCAATTCCTAAAGTTTTAATGTTTCGGTATAAGGTCATCACTTCATATTCTGATTACTTGAAGTGTTATGTGTCACAGAAATAACTGAATTTCTTTGTCAATTGCATCATAATGAACTCTCATCAGATCTTTAACAATGTCCGTTTCTGAGATTTGGTCATTTATAATTGTTCTTATTCTCTCACAAAACGTGTTTCTCCTTCAAGGAGATTTATAAAAAGAACTTTTGGGACAAATACAGGTATTTGACATCTTTCAATAAATTTTTTTTTTAACGTTTATTTATTTTTGAGACAGAGAGAGACAGAGCATGAACGGGGGAGGGTCAGAGAGAGGGAGACACAGAATCCGAAACAGGCTCCAGGCTCTGAGCTGTCAGCACAGAGCCCGACACGGGGCTCGAACCCACGGACCGCAAGATCGTGACCTGAGCCGAAGTCGGCCGCCTAACCGACTGAGCCACCCAGGCGCCCCAGACATCTTTAAGATTAATACCAAAATGGGTAAGAATTTCTGGAACTAAAAAGCTGCATTCACACTGAACAAGAATTCGGAACATGGGACTCAATGAACTGAGGAAGATTATAGTCTTGTGACTCTTGTTGGAAATAATGGCTGGTTCTCTGTTTCCTCTTCCAGATTAAGGAAACTTTCTCTTAACAATATCTGTGATATACAGAAATGTCATCAAGTACTCAGTTGTAAACTGAAGCATTTATCTTTTCTCTCTCCCCAAACCCTCTGAAATGCAAAAGCTCTCCAGTGAATATCCTTTCCTTCACAGCAATTACAATTGTTTGCATAAGTTCAATGAGAATCTGTTCATCTTGTCACAGGTCACCATTGGAAATACTGGTTATTTTACCAAGGCTTTGACTGGAATGTCCTATTTGAGATTAACATGCATAGACTCAGATATGACCAGACAGCTTTAAGGAACTAAGGTTGGCTTTATGAAACACGGAGCCATAAAGTCCCTTGGAGATGTTGGCCGGATACCTTGCTTACAGAGTTCCCAGCACCCTCCCCAGGTGAGCAAAGAAGGTCACTTCCTGGCAGGTGCAGGGACCTCAGGGTATCTTGGAGACCTCGTGAAGAGGAATTCATCCAATTCCACGGGTACTGCAGGCCTTGTCTGATGGCAAGTGCTTGGCTTGGCTTCTGGCCTGGAGAGGCTACAAAAGTTCAGTCTGGAGATTCCTTATAAAGGGTTCCAGCAAAGCAAACTTTAAAAGATCCTCATGAGCAATCGTTATTCTTGCTGAGTTTATGTAAATACTTAGGCCAGGTTTGTTAAGACTGGACTTGTTCTACAAATGCATGGGTGTCGACTTGGCTATCTCTGGAAAGGGGGGTTTTTAGAGAGAAAAACTACGTTTCAACAACGCACCGTTATGGATGTTAAATTCTAGTTCTGATCATCTTGAAATGTTTGTTGTTTGCCTAGACTAGACAGCTTGAGGTAAACTTCAGAAAAATTGTCACAATATGTCACGTATAGACCATCTTCTGTGCTGCTTGTTGTTCTGTGGGGATAATAATATGACCCCATGGGCATATGATTATTTAAACAACCGGAAAATGGGATGGATTCCCCCAATACTTGTATCCAAAGACTTTTCTCACTGGAGACCTTTCGATAGATGAAGACTATCGTCTTTATTACTCACTTGAGGCCTGGTTAATTCATAAATCTCTAATCATGCAAACCATACCCTCCCTAAACCTGACCTGACAGTTACTAGAAACCCACCCCATATAAACCCAGGAGATCTGGTTTATTCAAAAGATGGAAAGTCTAAGACAACAGGGGACTTAACTCCAAAATAAAAGGGCCCCTACTGGGCCGAATTAGGCAGTAAAGTGAGAGGGCCATTCTTCGTGGGCTCTTGTACCTAAAATAAAACCTGCAGCCCCCTTCCAGGAAATCAATTAGCAACCTTACGTGCCTTCTTTTTCCCGGGAATCTGTGCGAGCCCTCAAACTTCCCTTAGGATGGTTGTACCTTTCTTTTTCATTCTCCTTTCCCAATTTCTACTGATAATTCCTTCTTACAATGGGCTGTCCCACAGGGTCACAGCAGACCTTTGAGTTACAGGCCAGAAAGACCAATCTGATTCCTGCTGCCTGTTCCCACTCTCATCCGAGGATGCTTCAAGCCTGACATCTAAAAATCTCACTTGGGGCGCCTGGGTGGCGCAGTCGGTTAAGCGTCCGACTTCAGCCAGGTCACGATCTCGCGGTCCGTGAGTTCGAGCCCCGCGTCGGGCTCTGGGCTGATGGCTCAGAGCCTGGAGCCTGTTTCCGATTCTGTGTCTCCCTCTCTCTCTGCCCCTCCCCCGTTCATGCTCTGTCTCTCTCTGTCCCCAAAAAATAAATAAACGTTGAAAAAAAAATTATAAAAAAAAAAAAAATCTCACTGGCAGCCCTGGGAGACACGGGGTTTGTAGTCTGCTGTAACCATTAGCCCGTATGTTTCTTGTTTCTGTAAAAGTACCTCTTATTCATTACCTGATTGCTTACTGAACAAAACAGAGTCTATAGGATGGTTAAACACCACTTGTCAGATGGTTAAGGCCTTAAACGACTCTCAAAATAGCATTATGTTATCAAATACTAGAAGTAACTCGAATGCGGGAAACAGTTCTACAAAATAGAATGGCATTACACATTTTAGCTGCTGCACGAGGTGGAACTTATATTCTCCTAAAAACAAAATGCTGGGGCGCCGGGGTGGCTCAGTCAGTTAAGTATCCGACTCTCGGTTTCGGCTCAGGTCATGACCATGACCTCAGGGTTTCGTGAGTTCCAGTAGCACATCCAGCTCTGTGCTGACGGTGCGGAACCCGCTTGGGATTCTCTCTCTCTCTGCCCCTCCCCTACTCATGCTGTCCCTGTCCCTCTAAAAATGAATAAACAAACTTAAAAAATTTAAAAACAAAACAAACACCCCCCCCAACGCTGCATATACATTCCAGATTACCGCAAAAATATTTCTGGATTTCTAATTGACATAAATACTCAAATTGGCGCATTACACAATCCCTCTTTCTCCTTGAATGATTGGTTAAACATCTAGATTGGAGGACTTTTGTCAGCTACCGAAGGACTTTCCTTTGGGCTAATCTTTCTAGTTATTCTAATTATGTTTTGCTGTTTTCTCCCATGTCTCTCTGCCTGGTCCCAAGACCCCATCACTGCAATGACTTCAAGCCAACAGATGATCCTTTCTACTCAAGGAGGTGCACACACGTCGCCCACGTTGGATTCAGCTGCCTCTATGTTTTTGTCACTCCTCGGTATGTTCCCCGACTGACCAATATTGACTTATAGGTAGGGACGTCTCTGAGGCCCTCCACCTTCAGCCACCTTAAAGATTTAAGGGTCGAAACTGTTCAGGGGGGATATGATGAGGGAGCATGGGGCAAGCTGAGGGCAAAGTGCAGCTAACAGCAACCCCCCGCCCCCCAGGTGGGATGTGTGTGATATTCCTCGGACACTCAAGAGCAAAGGAAAGGGGTTAAAGTGCTTGCCATGGTGATGTGGGAAACTGAGGCAAATAATATGAAATTCCCTTACTGCCTCCAGCCCATTGCCAGGTCCTTGAAACCGGCAGAGTGACCACCCTCTAGGGGCTCAGCTGCCTCCGTGATGACACTTTGCTAGGGGGCAAAAGAGAACCTTGACTTAACATTGTCCCAACCTCCAGGATCCTGTAAATCTACTTCCTTTAAGTCAACTGCCCCAGGACCTATGCTGGCAATCCTACTCCAAGCTTATGGCCCCTGATATGCATCTGAAGGCTCTCACGACTGAGGTGTTATTAAACAGTTAACAGCTAACCCCTCAAGGTCCTGGAAACCTTGCTCCCAAAATACCTTAGAGACACTCTATCCCTGACCCCCTCCCAACCCGAGGATGTGTAATGAGTTCCCATCACGACCCCAGGGCAGCTCTTCCAGCCCACGGGTCCTGTCCTCGTGCTTTAATACAATGACCTTTGTGCACCCAAGGCGTCTTCAAGAATTCTTTCTTGGCCGGCAGCTCCGGACTACCCCACCATCACCCCAAAACTTCGTCAACATGGCAGACCCCAAAGGGGTCTGTCACCTGGTCTCCTGGCCAGAGCAGGGCACAGGCCAGGCCTCTTACCTTTGTGTTTGTAAGCAACTATGAGATTCTGGGTCTCCCGCTCTGGAACCAGCATAAGGGCTGCTTCTAAATGGGACCAGGATGACATTGACTTCTCCCGCCCTGGGCTGCCCCGTTCCAGCCGCCCAGGGGGATTCTGGGCCTCGCCGATCTCTGCAGTGTTCTCTCCCATCACTTTGAGCCCGTCCTACAGGAAGAGAAGCGGCAGCTCAGAACTGGACCATGTCCTGCCTGAGATCTCACAGCCACACCTTGTCGTGTGATGGCCAAGTGGGGACAGAGGCCTGGGCACGTGCCTCAGGAGCACATCCCCAAGCTTTGTGGCCTTGGGCAAGCTGCCGGACCTTGGGCAAGCTGCCCGACCTGGGCGCTCCCTTTTCCTGAGGCCACACTGAACATGGCTTTCCTTTCACTGGGGCTGCGGGGTGGCCAGGGTACGAAGCTCACAGCAGGCCCGACCAGCCAGGCAGCCTTCCCCAGAGGGCCTGGATCCTGGACTTACCTGAGGGCCCAGAGGTGTCATGAGGACCCCTCCTGGCGATTTCTTTTGTTTTCCTCCTGGCCCTTGCCGCTTGCCATCACTTGATACACTCACCATTTCCTTGTTTATTGTCTTTCTCCCCACTGGGCAGGGCCAAAGCTTTGTTCCTCATCTGTGGGATCCTAATCAGGCACGCAATGCTATTTACTAAGTGAATGAGTGGCTGTGGGGGAGGGCAGCCTGAGGCCAGTCAGAGGTGTGGTGATACCGGGAGAGGTGATGGTGGCCCGGCCAGGGGATGTGGGGCTGGAGGAGGAACTGATACTGTCCCGGGTGGGTGGGTGCCGGGGAGGAGGAGGGTGACGGGGGCGACCGCTCAGTGGGGTGTTTGATGGGGAAGGCTGGCCCCTTGGCAGACCACCCCCGACAGCTGGGCTCAGGCTGGGTCCCAGGCGTGACATCACCGCTGGGCAGAGCTGGCGCCTTGTCTCATCCCCCTCAACATCCTCTGGGCGAGGGTTTGGTGCTTAGCCCTGAGGTAAGCCCGTCCGCACCCCATCTTCCACTCTTCAAACTCCATACCCTCGACCCCCTCCTCCTGGAAGCCTTCCCTGATTCTCCTGC